TAAACTTTACCCAGAAAATGTTTCATAGGAGGTGGCCTCAGCTATTTTGAGGAAGCACTCAAGTGTGCTTTTTCTTTTGCTATGTCTGTAGCTGCCTGCACCTGTGATTGCCTGGCAGGCCCTCATGCCCTCTTTGCTCTAAAGAACTCATGTCAGAAATTTAGTATAGCTGCAATATCACAGCTTGCATATCACATTTTCTCACTGACACTTTGCTTCATCTTTCTGAAAGGGAAACTTCAGAAGATGTGCAGTTTCTTTACTCATTTAATGCTTTTCTTTGCTGTCTAGAATAAAACAATGAGTTACTGAGTTTACTGGAAACAAACATTCAGTAGCTCCTGCACTTTAAAATAGAATCAGAAATAGAAAATCATTATTTATACTTTCAGAGTACAGTGTATTAGTTCTAAAATATCATGCCCTAATTTAAATGTGTATGAGCTCCTCTGTTCTGTTCAGATGCACATCTGTAGTTGCTTAAATGTTTAGAAATTTTTAAAAATTAAGCAAATCATATGCGATGGACAACAGTTTGTCTGAAATGTTTATGTATCTGAGGTGAAATGTTTATGTATTTGAGGTATCCACAGCTTTTAAAGTATTAGAAGTATTACAATTCAGAAAACTTAAAAGTTAAAACTTCCACAAAAAAGAGAGAACAGGGTTATCTGCTGCTGTTACATGGGATTATTATTATGTAGAAATAGATTTTGTCTTCAGAAAACACTATTATTATTTACTGTGATTTCTCAGTCTTGCAGAAATATCATATCCAACCATATTTCTTGTTAGACTCCGAATTTCTGTTTGAACTATGGTTTATATGTTTTTATCCTTTGTAAAATTGACATTTGCTGGTTACATTGCATCCTTTTAATCTATCTGTATATTTAAAAGAGCAAATATTGGTCGGGGAAAACTTTAGTCCTTCTTCACTTGTCTCAGGGCTGCCTGGAAGTCCAATACCTCCTACAAAGCTTTGCTTTTTTCTGCCTATGTGGGACTGGATACCTGAATGCTGAAAATAGGCATATAATGAAGATGCCCTTGGACATACTTCAAATAGGAGGAATTATGGGAGGGAGAAAAAGTGGTATGGGGGTTATTTACCATTTAGATTTTCCAGTTGCCACTTCTCCCTTTCCTGAAGGGAGATGGGGAATGCTTCATGCTTTCCTCTCTGTGGACAATGCTGGGATTGTTTCTCTACCTCCACCTATGATAAGGAGAAAGATTAAGTTTGTAGAGAGAACAGAAAATCCATGTCTTATAATTGTACTGTAACCTAAATGTGAAAGGAGAACTAGTCCTTAATCAATCTTTCTAATGGTCAGGAGAGTTTTGGAGGTGCAGTGCAGAACACACAAGCAGTGGTGGGGCTGTGGGAGCACTTTTAGGGAGAGGACAATGGTGCTTGCTGGTTAGCATGTGCTTTTTTTTGGTAAGAGAAATATCTTCTCTCAGAAGACATGCTGTCCATGTGGGAATCTTTTAGCAATCAGGGTTATTAATGCTGGGATCACAAAGAACAGTGATTGCTATCTCTGTGTGTGAAAGAATTGGTGCCTGAAATTAATAGAAAGGGAGCACTTTCAGTGTAAGAAACAGAAGAGTAACTGAGGGAAGGAGTGGTGTGAAGGAACAGGAAGGAAAGAGAAGTATTTATCTGTAGTTTGTAGATTATACTCCTTTCTAAGGAGAGTTCCATTAAGGATGGAATGTGTTCAGGACACTCAAATAGCAGAAAAGATAGAGAGTGAAGTAATTCTTAGATATAAATACAAGAGAATGGAACAAGTGATTATTTTAAAATGCTTATTTCTGTGGTGTCTGATGCCTGTACTTTTTTCATGAGATGGTGCTTTTATAATAAAATTTCCTATCACTTAAAACTAGAACTGCAGATCATTTTATATTTGACCAGTCTTCAAAAAGGTTACAAAACTTATCAGATACCTTCCAGGTTTCTTATTTCTCTCTCTTTTGTTAATACTTTGTAATTAGATTATCTGGTCTAATTATTTTTTGGACCAAGAGAAAAATATTTTGTTGTTCTGAGAAGCAAACTCTTGTGTTTAGTGTCAGAATTAGAAATAAGGAAAATAATTACGTAGAAATTGCCAGCACTTCCTTCTTTTTCAAAAGCCTCTTTTTTTTCTTCAGCTGGTGTTCTTTTCTATAAGTGAAAAAAATCTCTATTGTTGGCAGCTCTGCAAACCTGGAGGTTTGATCGGGAACATGTTCTCAAGGGAGATGTTTGAAAGGATGTTACTCCACAGAAAGCTGTTTCTCCCATAGCTGTTATAGCCATGCTCTTAGATTGAATTTAAAAAATCTGTGTAACTTTTAATCATGTTTAATCATGTTTTAACCATAACTTTTAATTATTTTCATAATTCCAACTCCAAGGCACCTTTGTGTTTTTAACTGGCTTAATTATATAGCATGGCCATGCCTTTGAAGGTGTTGTACAAGGGAGAGACACAACTTACCTGGAGAAACTTATTAGGCTGGAAGGCAGTGTTCCCATTGACATCCTCTCCTTGTTGTTTTGCAAGGAGGCAAACAGGCAAATTTTTGCATTTGCCTGTTTGGAAATAGCCTCCATACCTTGAACTAGAGCATTTAGGAAAGGACAGGATTTCCTTCATGTGTGGAAATCTGATGAAGAACAGTAGAAGTGTAAAATGCCGAGCTAGCTGTAGCTTTGCTTGTCCTTATGTCAGCCCAATCCCTAAAATGCCTCATATTGAGAACACAGAAAACGTGTCAATGAAACCTGTGACTTAAATCTTTCCCAGAGCGGGGCATCCTGCCCAGATCCCTCCATCCTAAACTCTCATACAAAAAGGATCAAGGCCATGAATCCAGAGAGGGCTGGGGGATTTTTGGTCCAACAGACAGTCTCTATTCTCTAGCTGGATATGAAGCCAGTGTTGACTTAACCCTATGCGCTAGAGTGAAGGCTGGAACCCCCAACCTTGCCCTGCTTTATGCTGCTAATTAAATGCTAGAAAACAACAGTAACTCAAACAGCTGCACTAGACAGAGAAAGATTAATCCCATCTGAGTGAACACTTTACTGTTTCATCCATCAGTCTTGCTATGTGCAAATTGAGCCCCAAGTCTTTGGCCTTGCTGCGTAGTTGTTTTCCTTCTTTCATTTATAAATCTCTCTCAATTCCCATGCTTCTGAGGTTTTAGTTGCTAGGCTTACAATGTGTTAGAGAAACACTCTGACTGATACTTAGGCTAGTGAGAAAAGATAACTCAAAACAATTTTTCTGGTTTGGTAGCTCCTTAAATGGAAGATTTCACATACATCATTATTAGTATCTTATAGACTGGATAAATTTTTTAGATCAGTCAATGAGCAGCACTTGATCCATGAAGGCATTTTAAAGAGATTGTTTGAGGTTAACCAGCTGTGTTCAGAAATAGATACAGTCCCACAAAAATCAGTAGAGGTTACATTGGCAATAAGAGATTCAGTGTCTGTCCACTGCAAAGCTGGAAGAGGGCTGGGCAGGTTTGTTCACTGTGTTGATAAAATTTCGATGGTATGAGCTGGTTTGTCCTAACATTCACCTTATGCCTTCTGGTGGCAAATTCAGCTCTGCACAAAATTATTTCCAGGTGATAATTTTGATCAGAGAACTGATTGTAAGGGAAGTTTATGTTCAAAATGCAGTGGGGTCAGGCCGCCCTCCTTGTAAGGCCCTACAGGAAGGTAGTGCAGCTGAGAACAACCTTGATTTAATCTTGAGTTAATCATCCCAGGAATCCACAGAGGTCTGCTGTTTCATGAAGCAGATGGAAAGTCAAAACTCCAAGTTAAATGTGAAACTGAGTGCTGATTCTCACTGTAATTTTTTTTTTTTTTTAATTTATGGCAAATGGGGAGGAGTGAAATAAGAAAATGATAAATTTCTAAGCAGTTACAGATGATGGGCTTTTCAGTGGAGGTATTTCTGCGATTCCTGGTGAGCATCTCTTGATTACAAAGTGCTTGGTAAGATTTTAACACACTTTCTCTGTTCCTCTGCAGGCCTCTACACCTGCTGAAGGCTGATCTTTTTAGAACCTAATTTAAAATATTCCTGCAAGACTTTATACTTAGAAAACCTCTTATTCAAAGTTGCAGGGCCTTTTATAAGGAGAGAGTGGTAATGAACGGCAGTGTATTACAGGCCAGAGTTTTAAAGGTATTTAAGTTCTATAGCAATGGAAATTGAAGAACTAGATGCTTTTGGAAATCCCACAATATGCTTAACTGCATCTGTAGATGCTTTAATGCATTTTTTCCAAGTGGTTTGCCTAAGGTTCAGTTAGTCACTGCTAGAGACTTGAAATTGGAAACTTTCTCTTTAATGCTGTAGCCATTAATCATCTTTACTTTCTTTATGAGAAAGTGATAGGAAAATGTAGCTGTTTGTAGAATCCAATGGACTAGGGAAGAAATATTAATGCTTTGAATGAAAGTTCAGCTTCTTTCTGAGTTGTAGACTTCTCCTGGAACCTCATGTTTATAACTGTAATGGAAGAAGCTGAACTTCCACTGTTTGTCTCTATAATCACCATGTGATTGGTTAAGTAAAATTATTTGCTAAATCCTTTCTACAGTGTGCTTAAGGGAAGTCTTAGGCAGCAGGTCTTTGAAAGAATTTGATCTCCTCAATGCATTTTGATAATAAAAACGTGCTATTATTTCTTTTCTTCTGATTAGTCAGAGTTCTTGTTGCAAACTTAATATCTGATTTGAGTGTTTAATGTTTTCAAGTCTGCATTCATTTTTCTTTATATCATCTCATTTGCTTACAAAAACAGGGTGAGTATGAATTCCAGATGAAATGGGTTTTTTGTGTTTACAAAAAATAGCAATACAGTTTCTACTTGTTGCTTTTAACAGTGGCATCCTTTTACCCTGTTTTTCATCGTTACTGCATATTGTCATTTTACTGGTTTTCTCATTATATGCATTTGTTTCCATTATCCAGGATGCTGAGAAATTGGCCGGTGAAGTACATGCCTGGAAAGAAGTCAAAGATGCTGTAAATGAAGTGGGATATCCAAAATCAAAAGAAGGTATCCTTTCAGTGACAGGCTACAGTCCATCATTCAGTTGTGAAAAGATCCCCTTAGTATGCAGTTCATCTCTTGAGATTAGGTTCCTTACATTTGCATTCTTTTTATTGTAATGCTTTTTTAATTAATTTGATGTTTAAAATGTGTAAAAATCTTAACTGTATTAATAAGAGAGTCTCTCATTACTTGGAGTGGAACTGCTTTGTGGCAGGGATAGTAGCTACCAAGGACATGAAGAGATCTTTTGGCTCTGATTTAGATTTCTGCTGTCACTGCCCACCATTTCGTTTAAATCCACTTCTAAATGAAAGAAAGCTTAATTTAGAATGTTGTAAAATTCTTTTTTCCATTGAACATTTACAGGTTCTCATTCTTTGCATGAAAATGACAATAACAAGGAAATAATCACAGACAGGTTCACAGCAGACATTATGGCATCATTATAATAAGATATAATAATATATAATAATAATTGATAATTAAGCAAATTGAATGAAATTATCTTGCACTAATAAACAGAACTGCAGTCTAATGGCTGTCATGTAGATATTCAATCCAATTAAAGAGATTAGTGAACAGCAGCAACTAAGAAAAGATGAGCAGAAGAGAGGTGGAGATTTTTGCTAGAATACTATGGGTTTATTAATCTCTTTCTTATCTTGCTCTATTCAGTGGAATTTCACTGACTGGGAATTTGGCCTATTGTGGCCAGATACCTTACCATTTTGAGAAACATAGGCTTTCTCTCAAGCTAGAAAGAATTTAAACTTCCAGTACTCCTTCTTGGCAGCATGAAAAGCAAGTTTGCATAGTGATATTGCAGGCTGGAAACAAGTGATCACAATTTTTACAATAACAAAACACCCAACCCATTACACTGAGTTTGATTCTTTCTCATCCAGAGAGATTAATTTTTTAGCAAAGGGGAAACAATCATCTCACCTTGTTTTAAACTCACATAGTTTCTAGTTTCTTTTAAGTTCCTTTATAGTCACTGGATTGAAACAGACAGTACTAAAATAGATCTTCAGGGCCCGTGTTTCAACCTGCCTGTTAAATTATAGATATGCAACCCAAAGGTGCAATAGCTCCTATACTTAAACTGTGTAGTGAGAATACTGGTCCTATTTAATGTTCCTGTATTAAATTGCAGGAGAAGTTGCATTAATGTATTTTGTACGTGTCTTTAATTAAGATTACTGATTTAACTGATACTTAAAAATTAATCAAGTGCACGATAATAAAAGGCATCTGAACTGGTTGGAAAAATCATTTCTTGTTATCTGTTCAGCTTCTGTTCTCAGTCATGGACTATTTGAAATGTGTCATCTTTCCTTTCACCATACCACAATAGCAGTGTTAACTGACATGCAGTGGCAAGTGCAGTATTGAAGAGGGAACTTGACTTTTGTCCACTTGCCAATAATGAGTAGAAAACCTTCCTGGCAGACTGAGACACATAGTTATTAGCTCCTGCTAATATCATTTGTTTAACAAATTAAACCAACAGTTTCTACAGTTGAGAAAGTTGGTGACTCCCACACTCTGACCTACTGACTGTAGCTGATGTGGTGTTGAAATGCTAAATTTAGAGTTAGAGCTGCTTGGGGCAGTCCTCCTCTACTCCTGGGCTGATGTGGGACATGCAGGTCTTTGGTACTGTTGCAGCTGATGGCAGGTTTTCTAGTTTTCAATTTTACATACCTGCAAATTTGGTCCCAAGAGATTTTGTTATATAGCACATCTAATCTCAGATGCTAGTGAGTGAACAAAGCAGAATAATGAGAAGTAAAAGAAGACATACTGTGCATCAGCTAAGATGATAATCTTTCAAGAATGTCAGTGGTTTGTATTTTCTACAAAAATCATATGAAGTGGAAGTAACATCCCTCATTCTTCTGTTTTTTGTCCTTAAACAGTTGTAAAGAATACATGGATGTTTGCCAAAGATATAAAGGTTAAGGTGCAATGTTATAATAACACATTTCTTCCCTTATATGGCTCTTTCAGTCCAAGGGCATGAGAGCAATTCACAAATAATCAGTTTAGCCTTGTAACAGCCATGCTATAAATCCTAGCCCATGGTGGTAGCATTCTTAAATTTAAGTGTGTAAATATTCCTATGTTCAAGATGGACTAATTAATTAATCACAGGTTTGTCATTGTGCATTTTAAATTCATTGCTGGATTAGTTTGAATAATACATGCAATAATTGGTGAAGGTAACTGCTGGACTTCCTTGAGCTCCCATGGGTACATTCACAGGTGGTAATACTCATTTGAAAACTGCAAGTTTTGGGGTTCAGATTAGGTGTGGTCAGAGAGAGAAGAATCTGGTCCACAGAGAAGTCAAATCAGTGCAGAATGTAATGAAAAAGTTATTTGTGCTAAGAAATATCCAAATAAAGTGAGTGGAAGGTTATCTTTCCTCCATTCCAAATGCACAAAATATCTTCTTGTAGCATTGGAGGTGAAAATCTCCTTTACTTCCAAGATCATTAGTCCTGAACTACAATCAGACATCGAAACTGTGATTTTCTTTCGCATGCATAAAATGTGCAGTTGTACATGAAAAAACAAATCACAATGCTCTTCATGAGTGTTTCAAGGAAAAAATTAATTAATTTCAAGAAAAGGTTCTAATTTAATGAGAGTTCTAAAAAAATGTGCAGCATAAAAGAACAAGTCCCTTTTTTGTTGTTGTTTTTAAATTATTTTTTTAGCTGCTGGGACCTTTTAAAAGTAACTTCCATGGAGTCTTTCCCTTGGCTTTAAGAACTGGAGTATCTTAAGTAAACAATGTTTCAGGACCTAAATAAAAGTTATTTGAATTTTTTTGTGCATTAAAATATCCTTGCAATTTTTCTTTCTTTTTTTTTTTTTTTTAAACCATTTATTGCTAAAGTATTGCCTTCTTTAGAAATTGTTTTGCTACATGTAAACAAAACACAGTTACCTAAGCTGCTACTCCAGCATTTAAGTATTCAAGAATTGTTGCAGAGCCTGGAATGAGGACAGTTTTTCTATTTTAATGCTTTGAGGCTCTTACTCCTTGCTAAACAGCATTTAGAAGTTGTATTTTTGTCTGATTAAATATATTTCTTTAACTAAAGCCAATAACAGAGTGGAAGCATGTTCTGGCAAGATGCCAGAATCTCTTGAGGAGCAACAAGGGTCATCTACCAGATACAAATATCTATCAGCTGAAAATGCTTGACTGTGCCATGGATGCCTGTATTAACCTTGAATCTTGGGAAGAAGCATTGTATTATGGCAGCAGGACTCTGGAACCATACAGGTAAGGGATGTAACTGGTTCAGCTGATCCCAAAGATAGGGGAGAGCTGGCTGTCTCATTAAAAGTGAAGACTACTTCATCTTGGTACTTCTTACTGTTTTTTATTTCTTGTGTGTACCTTGTGTTGCTTTCTACGTTAGTGAATGAGACAGGATGCTCATTCTGCTTTCACAGTCAGGCTGAAAGCAAATAAAAAAATAACAGGAACTATAATCATAATGACTGATTATTATCTCCTTGCTTTTTCACGTGTTCAGATGCTGCCCCATCCCTAATCAGAGTTACTGTTTCAGGCTCCATTGACATGAGGGTATCAGTGTTTTATGCTGAGATAGAGCAAAAGCGAGGGACAGGTGGCTGGTTGAAATAATTTGTATTCTCCCTATTCTCTATACATAGATTTTACAGAAAGAATAAAAAAGTCTTGCAAAATGCAGGAAATTAAAAAGATCCTGGTTCTTATTTTGGGGAGCAATCAAGGTAGTGAATTACTTGGTTTTCTTCTCTCCTAATCAGTACTTGTTTGGGTGCTGTGTGCTGGGAGAGTTTCTGAGTCTGATGGTCTTTTGTTGATAAGGAAGGGCAGCCTCGGAGTTCATACATAATGTGTTAAGGCTTAAAGTTGATTGGAGCCTGGAGTTGTAATGCAACTTTGGTCATCTAGTAGAAAAAGGGCAGGTGCTTCTGCTTTGGTCAGTGTGCTAAAAGCTTTAGAAGACTCACATCTTTTGTTTCTGAATAGTTGCATTTTTTGTAACTAAGTGTTAGCCTGTGCTAAGTGTCCAGTTACAATGTCATTCACACATGAATGTTCCTTCTTGGGAAGGTATTTTTTAGAGCAACCATTTCTTCTCTGCTGATGCACCACGTGATGTTTCAATACAATGTGTGAGGGGTATGCTAGAACTGAGCAATATGCTCTGCTGTGAATATGAACACTTCAGATGTTACGTATTTTCCTTAATCAAATGGAGATGCCATCAGCATTCAGCCTTTTGCCTGAGGAAATCCTGTCGCTGTCGAGGCAGGATGGGAATGAGAAGACTTTGACTTAGGCTGCTGAGAGTAAAATTTTGGTTTATTTAAAATACCCTGCTCTTTTATATAGAGCTTTGTGAGGACCAACTCCATTGGTCCTGAAGTGAAAACAATCCAAACCACTGGTGCAGAGTGCTTGACGCACAGTGATAGAACTTAACTATAAACAATGTGAAAAACAAGAGAGATAAAGAATTATTTACATTCTTCTCTCTTTCCCAGGCTTCCGCCTTGCTAGAAACTCTGTTTCTCTCTTTGACTGAATCTGAGACCCACAAAATCCCGTGTGGCAGCCTGTTCCTGAATAAGACTCGGGGCTTCACTCGAGGAACACAGTGTTTCAGAGCTTTCACTAATAAGTGATCGTTGATAAAACCTGAATAGGCTATGGTGCATCACAACTGTGGAGTAGCTCTCTGTTCATAATTAATTTTCGTAGAGGAGGACATGAGTGCCTAAAAATTTTCACATTTCTTCAGGGTGAAATTCATGTTGTGCATGTCCCACTTAACCTTTTATGTAGGCTTATGTAGTACTGCAGCAGTACATGCTTCCTGCCAGTGTTCTACCTTGTGGCACACTTCAGATGAACAGAGTAGTCTACATGTTTAAATGTTCCCCTATTAAATAAAAAAAACCCAAACCTCGGTTGTTTTGGGTTGGGTTTTTTATAAGTTGTTTGCTCGGTTCTTCACAACTGAAAACTGAGCATTTTTTTTCTGCAGACATTTCTGAGAGCAGAGATTACAGTGAGACCATGTGCAGTCTTACCAGATAATTTAATAAAGCTTTCTCCATTTTGCTTGCTGAAGTGTACCATAGTTTTCAAGCTGTTTCATGCAGCAGTTTGGAGATGAAGGATTTGACTGTGCATCCAATTAGCATCTCTTAAGCTAATAATTATTTACATGAGATATTTGACCTTTTTTGCACCTTGGAGTGCTTGTCATTTTTCTCTCCTCATGCAAAAGCATTATTTAAGAAAGATTTTCAGTTGCTTCTTTTTCTTTATACCTTCAAGTCATCACTACAAGCTTTGACACACCTGAAACAAAATCCTCAGTTTCTCATTACAACAAATTGTGCCCTAAGCAGCAGGAGAGCAAATCCTAGGAAATCCTTTGGGATACATTGAATTTCTCCTGTTGAATCAATCTACTGCTTGGCTGCTCCTGCAGTTCCATTATAGCTACCTATTTTCCTTTCCTCAGCTCTGGAAAAAGTATTCATACAGATCTCCACAGGGAATCGCCTGAGAATTCATGCAGTCCATATAAATAGGAAATCACAGTTACAACTTTAAAGGCTCTAGAGATTTGGTCAGAACCAGTTTTAATTTCAGGTAATGTGTTTGTTGTGCATTTTCCATTTCTTTAGCAGCAGGATTAATTTTCAGTGCTGTGTGACACATTGTATCATAATCTATGTTTTCATTGTTATGGTTGCTGACTTTTCAGAATCATCCATTTCATGGAAGTGGCAGAGATAGATCTGTACTACATAAAACTGATTAGTCATGCTGGATACCAAGCCTGTGTTTTAGGTAGCAATAATAACCTATAAGGAGCATTGTCAGGACCTCTGAAATGGTTTAGCAAAAAGAAAGGAAGAGGAAGTGTCTGCCAAGATGAAAATCTGCCTTCTCTCTTTGTGCTGAACTGTAGCCACCCATTTTTTCTTAAATCCTACAACATGTAGCCTAAGCCAAGTGTATCTACATGGCTTTCCTTGTAAATGTCCCATTAAAAGCCTGTCTGTCCAAGAGCCTTAACCAAAGTTAAGACATTTGCCTAAGTAAAACCTGCCCCATGTCATAGTCAGCACTCAGCAGCTTGCAAATATAAACTTCCTTTCAAAAATCCTCATAAGCCTTAACCACAGAATAACAGAATATCAGCAAGAGGTGTTACATGGGTTTGTCATGTCTCAGCACATTCACACTCTGGTCTGACTGCTGCTCGTGAAGGATCAGATTCAGAGATACTGAGAAAGACAGATTTTCCTTAGGTTGCCTCAGAGGAAGGACCCAGCATTTAGCCCTCAAATTACTGACAAGGCACATATGTTCTGGGGATTAGGTTCAGGGTATATTTTCCCCATGTCTCAAGTATTCAGTGCTTTACACTGCTGCCAGAGTGGAAAAATGCATCTGTTATAAAACTCTGCTAGATGTCCTCAGCTATTGTGACAAAGGTAAGAGGAGGAAAAGAAGTAACTATGTGACACCACAGGCCTGCTGGGCTTACCTGCTGAATAGCACCATGTCACCTCTTTGGGCTCAGGGGACATCATGTCCAGTGAGATTCTGATACAGAGACAACAAAAATGTTCATCGATTTCTGCTCTGTGCTGTTTATAATCCCTGCTGAATTTCAGGTTAATGTAGAAATCCCACTGATCTTCAGATGGGTTGTTTTAATTGAAAACCCTTAATCTCCAGTGCTTCAGCATTAAGGGTAACTGGAGGGCTTCAATATACACAAGAAAATTCCTTCTTTTCATCCCATACAGAAATGTTGGGCAGAAATGCTGCTCTGGCTCTTCACCCAGCAGCCTTGCACGTCCTTCCCCCTCCAACCCCTCTCCACTGAGTCAGCACAAATTCAGGGCTTGTGACTGCTCTGCTTTTGCAGTGGGAGGGAGCTGGGTAGGTGCAGGCACCCCATATTTGTGCTATCTGTGCATCATTTGCCTGCTCTTCTACCTCCACCTATTCTCTATTGCTTCCAGTAATATTTTGTAGTACCCCATTACTTCACCTTCTGTCAGTGAATGGATTTGTTCAGGGAGCAAGGACAGCAGTCCCAGTGAGGGTAATTTTGGATTGTTTTGTAAAGGGCTGGGTTTAAGAACAGTGGCTGATATGTTCTTGTTTTTTTCTGAGAACATGGTTGAATTTTCATTGGGTTAATGAAATACCAGCCGGGAATTTTAGATTTAGAATTCTAATTCAATATATATGATGGTCTTTATTTTCTAAGTATGTGAACTTCAATCAAAAGGCAGATTAAAAATTGATGGTTGCTATAGTATCCTTTTCTTGAATTGTGATCTTGTAAAAAAGCAAAAAAAAAAACCCTGTAGAACTTAATATTCTTGGGAAAACTCTGACCCTATTTTCTCTTCTTCAAGAAGGATTTCCAGTAAAGATTCTGACTTACTTTTGGTCTGATTTTCCCCCTTTTTGAATACATTTAGAGAAAAAATCCTGTTCTTACAGGTATGTGTTTTGCAATACAGATGTGATATATGCAATGACTGGAAATCTTTTTTTTTTTTTTTTTTTTTTAATCAACTATATATGGTTCTTTACTGAGCTCAACAGACTTCTTTGTAGTGGCTAGTTCTGAGGCACTTGAATTGAATTTGTCTTTACATTGAAAGCTAGAGATCCGAAAAATATCCCCAAAACTGCACTGCAGTGATAACCAGGGCCACTGGGGGATGCTACTGCTTAAGGGTTACAGCTCGGATTCGTCGCCCCTCGGCACCCTGGTTATGGAAGGTCCCCGGGGGGTTCGTGCGTGGCTGCCGGGTTTCTGAACCTAGAGACAGTACTAATTCCGTGACCAAAGTTCAATGTCTTAATCATAAACCATCAGTTGTAAACATAAATCTTACCTCTGGGATCACCTGAGAGGGAGAAAAAAATGTCAAGGTGGAGAAAGCAATTTAAAGAAATAATGAAACAAAGAACAGGAAGAACTAAATCTTCCTTATTCACTTTGCTGGAGGTTTTAGAAAATGCCCATGGCATTTAATGTTTAGAGCAAAATGTGTCAAAAGAAGAGGAAACCCCAGTATAAATAAGAGAGTGTATTGTCTCTGGTTAATTATAGTAATTCTTCCAAAAGACAGATGTTTCTAGCAATATTTGCACGGTTTTTGGCTTCAGTGTACCTATTTGTCCATACACAGGGATAATGCTTGTCACTGGGCTGATATGTTTAGGAATCCATTAAA